CTGTTTGAACTACCCTTGTATTGCCATCTCCCCAGTCCAGCCACTGTCATCTCTCTCACCTGAACTAGTGCAATGGTTTCCTAATTGCTCCCTCAGCTTCTGCCCTTGTACTCTTATTCTTGCTAAAATATTATCCCTCCTCTATTGAAAACCCTCCCGGAAGAACATTCTCAGGTGTTAAGGCCAAAGTCTTTTAAAATCCAAACAGCTTCAACATCATCACACTATCTCTGGGACTGCACATCTTCCTCTCTCTCGTTTTTATTCCACTGCTTTACTCTAATTTCTTTGCTATTTCTCAACACACTAAACATAAATCTGTCTCAGGGACTTTGTATTTTTTTACCTTTACCTGGAATGTTCTTCCCTAAACATTTGCATAACTCACTCCTTTGCTTCCTTTATTAGGTACTTACTCAAATGTACTTTTTCAGCTTATATTTCTTTGGCCACATCATTCAATATTTCTCACTTTCTATCTTGATTCTTTCCATTTTTTCTTTCTCTTTAATGTTCATTACTGTGTAGCATACAATATTTTACTTATTTGTCTTGTTTGTTGTCTGGCAAACTCCCTTAGATTAAAGACTTCATGAGGGCATGAATTTATGTCTACTTTGACCATAACTGAATCCTCAGGGACTAGAAGAGTGCTTGGTATAGAATATTTACTCAATAAACATTTATTAGACAAATGAGAGGTGCTGATAGAGCATATGTATCCCCTCCTGGTCTATTTGGAATTTATGCTCTATTAATTTCTTGTGTTTTGATAGCACGTGGAATGACTTGTTGCCTAGCCTTATAATAATCTTAGTTGTAGCACAGTTCTGTCATATTTCTATGTCATAATTTATTTCAAAATTTACTTTCCAGTTATCTGGGCCTTATAGCTCATATGTAAAATATGTAGACATTTTATGTGTATCCAAACCAGATTATGGGGCAGTAATTGGTGGCCATAATCTGGTGGCAAATGGCAGGATAATATAAATATACTGGTATTAGGTAACTATATACATTTGTACATTCTATGTACCAAATCATCAATTTTCTCGAAATGCTCTTCACCTCCTAGTTTGCCAGGCAACTCCTGTAAGAGTCTGTATCCCTGGGAAGTTCCAACTGTGTCTGAGCGGCCCTTTTCATTTGCATGGACTTAGTTAATACCTCTCACAAGAAGGGGCAGTGAGGCAGAAAGTGATAGTGAAAAGAGTATGCTATACAGTCACCAGGCATAGTCATAAATACTAGCTGCATCAGTTTCTAAGTGATTGGCTAGTGTCTAACTTACTAAAACCCATTACATCATTTGTAAAATAGAGATAATAAAATAATACCTACATCTCAGGGATTTTATATGGATTATTGACATACATATTCAGGATATAATATAATATGTTCCATGGGAACCACATGCATTTTATTCTCTGCAACATAAAAGTCTAGTGTATGTCTGTGAATGTAAGATGCCTAAGACATTGTCTCTTGTCCTTGCTGACATCACATGCTCTTACTTTTTCTCCTTACTTTCTGAGTTGCCTCCTTTCCTTAGCTGGCTTTCCCAAAACCTGGCCTCTTACTGGGACTTACTTGTCACCTTCCCCTTTACTATATTTACACTTGCTTTCCAGATGATTGAATGCATTTCAAAGATTTTGTATGTTCATGGCCTTCACTTTACATCTCTAACCCAAAACTTTCCTCTGAATCCATTTTTATAAACCCACTTTCCTGTTGGACATCTATACCTGGATACCTCAAAAGCATCTCAAATTTAATGTTTAAAAGAAAATAATTTTCTTCCACTTCTCACCTGTTTATATACTAGTCTATTCTGTCTCTTTTAATAGTATCAAAATGCACTAGTTTCTGAGACTAGAAACCTAGGAGTAAACCTCGATTTACAGTTCAGTTGATTTAATTTGGAAAATACATCTGTGTCTACTTCTCTCCATATCCACTGTCACCAATTATAGAGAAGCCAGTATCATTCCATACTAGATGATTACAAGAGTCTCCTAATCAGATTTCTCCAATCCATTATCCAGAACAATGTCCAGCCAGAATAATCCTTTCTAAGACTGAATTGTGCCGATCATTTACTTACATCTTCTCAATGGCTTTCTGTTACACTTAACATTCAAACTCTTTTTAAGAGCCTACAAGATCCTGCATGATTTGGCCCTTTCTTATCTTTTAAACCTCATATTGTTCCTCCCATATTTTATGTTCAAGCCACACTTTTTACACGACTGATTTCTTTCATTCTTTTTGTGTTGTTCTTTGCATTCAGCTAAAGTTACCCTTCAGAGTAATGATCTGTAAGGGCGATGAGTATAAGAAGCATATACACCTTGTCCACTCCTGAATAGTTCCTAGGAGAGAGTCCTAGCATAGGCATACCATAAATGTTTGTTAAATGAGTTAGTGAATAGATGGCTGGGACATGATGGGTCCTCAATGAAAGATAATGATCATAATTATCAGTGCACATCATTGCATTTCTTTGTTACGTTAGTCTTTCCCCTCAATAGTTAATAGGTCTTTATTCAATGAGTTAAATAATTAATTTAGCATATATTGGGAAGACAATTGTTCAGTGTTTTTTTTTAATGTATGCATTCTCTCTCTCTCTCTCTCTATATATATATGTATATATATATATATATTCTGGCTTTCCTAAAATAACTCTAACTAATAAAATGCATGAGATTCTCTCTCTCTATATATATATATATATATTCTGGCTTTCCTAAAATAACTCTAACTAATAAAATGCATGAGATTGATATTTCCGCTGCATAATTTTAAGAGGCCACTTCTAGTCTCTCAGATAACTTCTATGCTCTTACATAAAAAATGAGTCCTGTTTTATTTTGGGGTTTGCTCACTGACATTCTGGAATTAATGAGAAATTGTATTTCTTTCTACTTCGGATTTTTCTTTTTGTCTGCAGTAGAATCCATATGACCTTGAGAATAAGCATTGTTCCCCAGATCTTTGGTCTAAGGAAAGTGATTGAAAAGTTTGAGAATACTCTGGTAATTTCCCTATGAGAGATTAATATCAGTCTTTCTTCATTCCCTTGCCCCTCGTCTAACAAACCCAAATTTTATACCAACACATATTTTTTTTTCTTTATATTTCCAAACACCTAGTTTTCTGGAATATCTAGTTATTTGATGAGATTTATTATTTTAGTGTTTGGCACTAACACAAAGAGCCTTTCTCTGTTGCCGTAAAAAACAGTAGAAGGAAACAGTGAAAATGAGGGTGGGAGTGATAGAAACGTGATTTAAGTTCATTTTGTGTCCGGACTGGAATTTTTGCACATATGATGAGTTTTGAAACGATTAGTATTCTTGTAGAAGCATGATGATTGCATAAATTCCTGAAGAAACATCACCTGTCTTTGAAAGGTGGTGCTTAGGGAGTTAGTCACTTTAAAACAATTTGAGATCCTTGGCTGGCAGAGATGAAAGCAGACAAAATAAGTCTTTTAGACAATCTCTTTAAATAACCTAAGTCACTAATTTGTCTGCTAACTTTTATAAATTATGCTCGAATTTTCTGTAGGAAATTTGAGACAAAATTTTCTTCTTTCCAGAAATTTGAACTGAAATGGATGACTATATAAATATATATAAAGTGATGATAAGTTTTTGCTTGGAAGGATAGTTCCAAACATGCATCCTTTCAGCCTTTTGAACCATGGCGATGTGGAAATTTTTCCTGGATCAGGGCTAGAGGACTGATTACTGTGAATTTTATTACATGACTTTGTAATTACATTGAAGACTCTCTGGAGGACCAAATGGGTTGCCAGAGAATTTTCTGTCCTCATCACCTAGCCACAGAATGCCCTTGGAAAATTAATAACAAGAAAGATCATGTCTTGAATATATATAGCCCTATTCAATTTACAAAGCATTTGCATAGTTGATATCTTGATTCCCATAAGAAAAGCATAGGACATAGTATCCCTATTTTTCAGATGAGGAAATTCCAGTACTAAGAGATTAGTGCTTTATTAATACTTAATAGCAAGAAAGGGATTTGAACCTGAATATTCTTTCTTTTCCCCCCCAAATTAGTGGTCATTTTACTATTCTTTGCTACCTATTTGGGAGGCATTTACTTTGTTACTATCTCAACTTTCTTCTGTCACTCCCATAGTCTATTTAACTTGAAATACCCACCTCTTCTCATTCATCTTTGTTATACCTTCCCCCCCAAATTAGTGGTCATTTTACTATTCTTTGCTACCTATTTGGGAGGCATTTACTTTGTTACTATCTCAACTTTCTTCTTTCACTCCCATAGTCTATTTAACTTGAAATACCCACCTCTTCTCATTCATCTTTGTTATACCTTATATGTTAATTAGACACAATACTTATTCCTGGGAAGATTATTTAACTTGCTTTATATTGCATTTGGAGAGAGGTCATATAGGCGTTATTTTAAAGATTACTTTAGTTTTGTAACTGCATAATTAATACATGCTCAATGCTGAGAATTTGGGAAGAAACAAAAAGCATAATGAAAGTTAAAGTAGAACAACAATTACCCACACATTTATCAGCTAGAGAACACCAATGTTTAATATTTTGTGGTTTATACTTCCTAAAGTTTTCTGTTCATGGCACAGTTTTGCTTCTGGGATGCTCTCTCTTACTGCTGTCTGCCACACATAAGATTTGGTTTTGTGTACTTCAGGTGAACAAATGAAAAATATTAATCTCAGCAAAGCAGGGTCAAGAAGCTACATCAGCTGCTTCATCAAATTACAAACAAGGCAAAAATAAAAGATTTATGGATTTTTTTCTTTGTTATATACCTCATCAAAACCTTCTTTTTCTCCATGGTCATAAACCAGTAGAGCTTCCCCAAACGATGTCTGCTTATGTTGTTAATGACCCATGTTATTTTTTTTTTTCAGGTTTTGAAGATCATGACCTGTTGTTAATGACCCATGTTATTTTTTTTTTTTTCAGGTCTTGAAGATCATGACCACATGGATGTATCTAACTGAATGTTACCTGGGGATGTGGTGGTCCTTTAGAGAACACATCTAAATTGCTGGCCAATTCCTTGGTTTGCCACTCAACATAGGACACTGTTTGATTCTATCTCTCAGAACTCTCCTAAATTTTCTCCACCATGCTATCTTTATTAGCCTGAACTCTTTTCCTAAAATGGTCCTTCTGTTGATCCTGTCAGTCCTGCTTTTGAAAGAAGATGTCCGTGGGAGTGCACAGTCCAGTGAGAGAAGGGTGGTGGCTCACATGCCGGGTGACATCATTATTGGAGCTCTCTTTTCCGTACACCACCAGCCTACCGTGGACAAAGTACACGAGAGGAAGTGTGGGGCGGTCCGTGAGCAGTATGGCATTCAGAGAGTGGAGGCCATGCTGCACACCCTGGAAAGGATCAATTCAGACCCCACACTCTTGCCCAACATCACACTGGGCTGTGAGATAAGGGATTCCTGCTGGCATTCTGCTGTGGCCCTAGAGCAAAGCATTGAGTTCATAAGGGATTCCCTCATTTCTTCAGAAGAGGAAGAGGGCTTGGTACGCTGTGTGGATGGTTCTTCCTCTTCCTTCCGCTCCAAGAAGCCTATAGTTGGGGTCATTGGGCCTGGCTCCAGTTCTGTGGCCATTCAGGTCCAGAACTTACTCCAGCTTTTCAACATACCTCAGATTGCTTACTCGGCAACCAGCATGGATCTGAGTGACAAAACTCTGTTCAAGTACTTCATGAGGGTTGTGCCTTCAGATGCCCAGCAGGCACGGGCCATGGTGGACATAGTGAAGAGATACAACTGGACTTATGTGTCAGCTGTGCACACAGAAGGTAAGTTTCTTTATATCTACTGAATATGTCTTATTATGCACTCAACAGCTTTGCAGTGGAAATTTCAGGTTTTGGAAAGCTAAACTATTTCTAATTGTTTTGGATATTTTGAGTTGCCCCAGTTAAACCAGTACTATAAGAAGGGACGGGTTGGCAGATATCTAGAAAGACATAGATTTAAAGCATTATCAGGGTTTGTGTTGCCATCATTTGGGGAAATGAAAAAAATTTCAAATTATATATTACATTATATATTCCTCTGCTATAATGATGCATTTTGATATTTGGTACAAGGGGTTTTTAAGTTTTCTAGATCTTCACTGAACGTCTCAGATTTTTAACATGTTAGGATTGCTCCGACTGCATATTGATTCTGATAGTTAAATAGAGGTAGACATAAAATACACATAGGACTGAAGGTATTAGCTCAGGTGGTTAGAAGGTGGTGTTATAACATGAAGATTAAAAGTTTGTATTCCTGTTTTTGCCAGCTGCCAAAAAAAAAAAGAGAGAGAGAGAGAGACTGAAGTTGCCAGTATAGCCCAGTTCTATAGGTTGTTATAGAGAACTACTGGAATTTAATCTTAACAACTATTTTTCAATAGCATGCATAGTCAATGTGAAATGAAGATAAGAACGAATTAATTTTAATAATTTAACACAAGTTTGCTTTGAAATGTATTGCTTCTTTATGCTCAAAGCATATCGATGAAGGAAAAATCTGACCAACAATCTATAACGGTTCATAATAGTTAGCCCATTGGTATTTATAATGTTTTAAAAATGCTTTAGTATACCTCATTTGTTAGTTCTCAACTGAGGTTGTTTGGAATAGTTTTGGCTTGGCCTACAGAGTTTGAGTGACCCGAGTGGTGAGACTCACTTCTCATGCAACACTCTTTCTAGGACAACAAAATGCAAATATTAAGCACTATAGAATACTGAACAAGGAACAAAACGCTTTTTATAAATCACCGAATTATTGTGATGATTAGTTGAAATTAAAAATATTTTGCAATAACATGTCAATGTGGTGTAAACAATTCAACCCTGTAAAATCTGTAAAATAGGTGGTTAAGTTATGGGGAAATTAATGAAATGATCAGGGTGAGTCTACTTCAGAGTTTGAAAGGCAATCACTGATGAGATACAATAAAATTTTTATTATCAAGTTGCATAATATTCTGAATTTCACTTTATGACCACTCATTAATAATATTTACAGCTGTACAAATATACAGTGAGCTTCTGTATGAAGTAAGACTTCATATCTCTGGAAATTTTCATATATAAATTGATAGTTTACTTATAGGGATATTGACATACAGAGATTTTGAGCAATATAGGTGTTCGGAGTAGGAGACCTTGAAATTTTCTTTCAATTTTTTTCTAATGCTGAGATTTACCTTGTAAAATCACTATTTCATTTGATTCTCACAACAGGACAGTGATATAGGTGGTCCAGATATTTTATTCCTATTTTAAGATACAAAGGCTTTAAGAAATTAAGTAATTCATTCAATATGTACCTAATAGTAATTTTAGAGCCTGGAGTACCTCTTATAGCAGTAGCTCTGATTTTTAGTTTCAGTACACTATTAATATTTAATAGAATTCAAAAAAAAAAAAGAATTCAATAGAATCATGACCTGAAGATGTATTTATACAACACATATTTATTAAGTACAGTGTATATAAGGTCCTCTGATAGTCCTATGAAGGCCATCCCTAAGATTTTTTTATATTTCTTATGAATATTCATGAGATACAAAGCTGATTGTCTCCCCTCCCGCCCATGATGTGAGGGCCAGATTCATACTGGCAGCATACACATTACCAGAAATTACTTTTTTACCCTTTGTCCACTCCCAATTACCCCTCAGCCTCCCTCCTCCTCCCCCCCTCCCCTCCACTCCAATTTACAGCCCTAGGAATGTTCCATCCCTCTGTTGGATCACGGCACTACTGTGGTCTTTCTTTCATGCCTTCCCACATATGAGTGAGCACTTGCAGTATTTATCCCTCTGTGCTTTGCTTATTTCACTCAACATAAGTTTCTCCAGGTTCATCCGTGTTGTTGCAAATGGGACTATTTCATTCTTTTTTATGGCAGAGTAGTATTCCATAGTGAACATATACCACAGTTTCCTTATCCAGTCATCTATTGATGGACATTTAGGTTGGTTCCATACCTTGGCTATTGTAAACAGAGCTGCAATAAACATGGGAGTACAGGTAGTCATGTCGAAGACATCCCTATGTTTTATATATCACAAACTTCAATGGGCTTGCAATCTGACAAAGGACATGCATGAATACTTGCATAACCATAATTCAAGATGACACAAATTTGCAAATATGTCTCTAAAGTAAATTGATGAAGAAGAAAAAATTACCTCCTGCTCTGTAGTTATGGGGGTCATGATAGAAATTTTTTTTTTCCTTTTTGTCTTTTTTCATGACCGGTAATGGGATCGCAACCCTCAGTGTCGTGCCCGTACTGCGACCAGCAACGGGATTGCAACCCTCGGTGTCGCACCCGCACCGCGCTCAACCAGTGAGCGGACCGGTGTCTATATGGGATCCGAACCCTCAGTGGGATCGCAGCCGTGCTCCCAAGCACCACACTCTACCGAGTGCGCCACTGGGCCGGCCCCATGAAAGAAATTTTTGAGAATGAAATGTATTTGACACCTGGAGTTTAACAGAAAGAATACAGACAATTGGTGAAAATTCAGAAGGGATTGATTTCAGTGAAGGGCATGAGAAAATTTGAGGATGTGAAAAAGTAAAAAAAATATATACATATAGATCTAAAAAAGGCCAAGTATAAGGGAATGTTTTTTTTTTTTTATTTGCCACAAAATAAATCATAAATTGAATTAGGGACTCAACTTCTAGTTTTAGAAGAGTAGTGCTTGGTCACTATATGGAAGATGCTAATCCAAGATTGTGCTCCATGGGCATCTTATAATCATGTCTATTGGCTTTTACTAATTTTAACTGTCATTTTAACCTAAATGCACACCCATAATAACCTAGCAATCTAATAAAATAAATTAGGATGCATTCACACAATATATTATTATTTACCTATTAAAATACATGAGGTACCCTATAGTTAATGAGATGATAATGATCTCCAAGATAGTTTTAAGTGAAAAGAACAAGGTTCAGGTCTGTATATATGGTATTTTATTTGTCTAAGAGAAGTTTCTATATAAATTATTTGATCAAGTATTCATAGAATTGCTCTCAGAGAAGAATAAAACTGATAACGGTTGCTCCTTCTGAGAGGAGATATAAGCAGTTAAGAAATAATAGAATGAGAGAGACTTACTTTTTATCATAACTTTTACATGCATACATGTGAAGTTGTGTATTACATGCATAAATTATCTACTGCAATATAACAGTTACAAGAAAACATTCTACGTGTGGGCAAAAAAAAAAAAAATAAGACAATAGAAATTGTATTGCCCAATTCACGCAAAATATTTGGTGACAGCACATGATTCAATAAAGGAGAAATTTTATGATTGAACATTCAAAGATTGGGAGGAATAATTTTTATCTTATCGTTTTTTGTGGTTATATCAAGATAATTATGTTGCTTTGATCCCAAGTAAGTATGTGGATAATGAGGTTTCCCATTGTCTTGTCTTATAATTTACCATAGGGGTGGCATGGCAGGAATTTTCAATAGGTAAAACTCACCTCCAGGATCAGAAATTGCTTGAGTCAAATGACACACAGCTTTTTGGATACTGTGGAAGCTCTCCAAGATGATGGCTGGTTTTCTTTCTCTTGGCCCTTTACAAAGTTTCTGTGGGATCTTCCATCAAATGATAAAGTCATTTTTTACTTCCACCTCTTTCTCTGGCTGGGTTGGGGTAATTCTCTCCAGTTCTAGTTCAATTAGTTCCAGTATCTTATAATTTATTTTCATGTCCTTATAATTACCCTCCTTTACTCAGCTGATATTCCTCTTTCTTGAAGAGCATGGAAATTTCCAAATGTTTTCATGGGTGCCATCAAGGTCTATAAAAAGATGTGGTCTTACTCATGTTTTTTTTTTTTTTTTTTAAAAAAACCCTTTATTCCCTCAACTGCCCATTTATTTTATACTTAAACCTGACAGTACTGTGTCACTCATCCCTCTTGGCAGATACTACAGGATGTTTCTTGGAGAAAATGTGTGCTAACCCAGAATTTCTGAAGAAAGTACAAGGAGATCTGGGTTTCAGCTTCAATGTTAATCTGTTATATTTGGTATTTCCTCTGATTTATGGTTTTTGCAGGCTGCTTGAATTCATATTTACTGTGCCTTGTTGTATAACACAGAAATTGTACCCAGCACTTCTAGGCAAAGAGATTAACAATGTAAAACAAACAAACAAACAAACAAAAGGATCTTTATAAAGGGCAGACCAAACCAGTTCTTTAACTGTGTGAAGGAAAGGAACATGCAATGACTCAGAATAAAAATTTAACTCCTTTTAATGGAGTGAGTTGCCAGCACTCTCTCCACTCTAAGAAAATTAAAGTGTCCTTTGCTTCAGTTCTTTCGCAAACTGAGGTACATGAACCCATTGTGGCACAGGATTGATGGTGCTTGCCTGTTTAGGGGTGTGGCTAAAGATGGATTGCACTGATGACTTTTATTGATGGATTCCCTGTATCCACATTATTTGGCTTTATAACAATAATTCTCTTCCACTCTCTGGCCATGTGACTGCTTTGGCCAATAGAACTTGGTTGAAGTGAAGACTTCTTAACTCTGTCTTGGAATCCTATCATCACCATTTGAAGGATGAGAGCTCCCAGGTTTTCCAGATGAGATCATCTAAGACTTATTAAAGTCAGCCATGTGAAAGCACTCAGTGAAGATTGACACAATTGTCTTCCTGACCCATCCCTAATTGCAAGCACATAATTGAACCCAGCTGAAACCATAAACATTACCCAGCTGCCCATTATGTTGAGCATAATAAATGCAT